TGTACCTCTGGTGCAAATTACTGACCTCTGTCATCATTTTAAGTGGGGGAACTTGCACAATCGGTGGCTGACTAAATACTTTTTTGCCCCACTGTATCTTCACCCCCACCCGGGATTGAGTACAAAGCCCCAAGTGTGATGGAAGAAGCATCGTTGAGTGCGAGAGGAGCTCGCTACTGTAGCCGGTTACCAAGATTATGTGAGGTGCCCTCTGAAGGTCTACTAGATGATGTAAATGCAGCACTACTGACTATACCTACCGCCACCATTACAGAGACTAACAAGTTGATCTACACTACGGCAGCAGTAATCAGTGAGATGCTTGGCTACAAGTTGAGCAGCCACAAGGAGCAGTACCCTCCATGGAGAAGATGACTAGAGGCTAAGATCAAGGTAGCATGGAGGGAAGTAAGCCAACTATCGGAGCTGCATAAATGGGCAGTGAAGAAGGTGCTTAAGAAGTACAGCAAGCTGTCCATATCTGAGGCCTTGGAAACTGTCAAGCAAAGACTCACAGCCTTGGTCAGCTGCTTGAAGAGGTACACTAGAGAGATAAGAGTTGGTCAGCAATAGGTCCTGACATGGTTCATGCCTACTGGCTCAAGAAGCTGACTGCACTGCATGAGTGTCTTGCAGCATAAATGAACCAGCTGCTAGTAAATGAGAGACACCCAGAATGGCTAACTTAAGGCCAGACAGTTCTGATCCCCAGGGACCCCCAGGTCCCCTCCAACTACGGACCAATAACCTGCCTCAGCACCATGTGGGGCCAGTCCCATCCACCTAGAACCCGCAGAGGGTCAGGCACCAGGGACTGGTGAGTGTCAGTACCACGGTCCAGGATGAGACAATGCACATCCATGAGTACATCAGGAAGATGGCCCCAACCGACCGTGTGCTCAGTGAATACCTCAGGCAGCAGAAACCCGAGGAAGAGGAGGAACCATCATAAAAGAACAAGCCCCTGCACGGTATGTACCACCGGCAGATAGAGGAAGCGGCTGACATCCAGAAGTCCTACCGGTGACTGGATAAAGCTGGACTGAAAGATAGCATAGAGGCACTAATCATGGCAGCACAAAAACAAGCTCTGACCACAAGACCCATCTACCACACCAGGCAAGACCCCAAGTGCAAACTGTGTAAAGATGCCCCTGAGACAATCCAGCACATATGGTGCAAGATGCTGGCAGGCAGGGAATACATGGAACACCACAACCAAGTGGCCGGCATAGTGTACAGAAACATCTGTGTCGACTATGACCTGGAAGTCCCGGGGTCAAAATGGGAGAGGTCAAGGGTGGTAGAGAATGACTGTGCTAAGATCCTGTGGGACTTCCAGATACAGACGGACAAAATGGGATGGCTATCCAACTAGTTATAGTAGTGGTGGACAAGCAGAGGAAGACGGCTGTAGTGATAGATGAAGTGATACCAAATGACAGCAACATCAGGAAGAAGAAACACGAGAAGCTGGAGAAGTACCAAGGGCTCAGAGAAGAGCTCGACAAGATGTGGAGGATGAAGGTAACAGTAGTCCCAGTGGTAATTGCAGCACTCAATGACCCCCAAGCTAGGCGACTGGCTCCAGCAGATCCCAGGAATAAAATCTGAGATCTCTGTCCAGAAGAGTGGAGTCCGAGGAACAGCTAAGATACTGCGCAGGACCCTCAAGCTCCCAGGCATCTGGTAGAGGACCCGAGTCTGAAGGATGAATACTGTGAGAGAAGGGAATTTTTTACAAGCCACAAAATGTTTTAGCACTGATAAAAATCACAATGTAATTTCCCTTACAAAACGAATCTCTCCATAGAACATTTTTGTTCAAAAGTCAATTTTGTATGTGTTTATTGATATTAATAGCTATTAATAAGCTATTAAGCTTTAATTTAATTTTAAGTTTTAAGTTTTAATTAAAACTCTAAGAACCTTTGTTTTTTTGTGAAATTTGTTTAGGCAGTATGGATGTTCGAACACGAAGTGGAGGGGAAAGAGGGGCAGAGCAACACATGAGGACATTTTTCTTCATACTTGAGAAAATTTCCACCTAACAACTTGTGTAAAATGTTATGTTTTATTTGTGTTATTATTAGATAACATATTAAATATTATTTTTCATAGAATTTTAATTTTGCTATCTCGCTCTACATATCTCTGGAATAAGTAAGAAAGAGTTTAGGATGTGTTGTTAACATAAAAAGCTGGTAAATTAACTTATTTAAAAAAAAGGATTATACAGTAATAGGGCAATTTTTTCTTTGTCCTGTTGAGCCTGTTGTGTGTTTTCTGTTTACACATGCAGGCTGTCGGTGACACTGTCTTGTCCCTTGGATCTTACGCTTTTCCCAATGGACACACAGCTATGCAAGATGCAGCTGGAGAGTTGTGAGTATATTCCTGATCTAGCTGCTCTCTCCGCCCTTGTTATTTCTTGAGCTTCTCGCCTTCCTTCCAGCTGATGTTGCTGACACTTGTTATAGCTACATCTATGGCTGTCTTCCTCTGCTTGTCCACCATTACTCCTCGAGTTCATTAACCATCTGAAGTTTGTCTGTCTGAATACAAAAAACTAAATATACTATAAGAGGAATAGAGCTCCGATGCAGCCATGGGTATAGCTGCTTCTGAAGGACTTGGTCAGATTTGTTCACTTATTGGGGTGAGGAGTGGAAGGTAAGTGAGTAGAGCTATGCTGTAGAGATGAGACGAAAAATATATCAGCAGCGTTGAACACAGCGTGCTACTAAATTGCATTTTAATTGCTAACTCTCTGCCAATTTACTCTTTGACAACTTAAAAGGTATTAAAAATAAGAATTAATGATACATTTCAAAACTTCAGCACTCTGTAGGAATGTGAAGAAGACCTGGAAAGTTTGCAATATTTTAAAATTAAAACTACAATTAAATGAAATAATTAATGAGAGAACAAAATTTCTGATGCAAAGGCTGTGATTGGGGAACTTTGAACATGGTTATAAATCTGGAACATTCCTTGTTAACCAGCTAACGCTAAGTAGGGGTGCAACGATAATCGTATCGATATTGAACCGTTCGATACAGTGCTTTCGGTTCGGTACGCATATGTATCGAACATTACAAAATTTTTAATTTATTTTATCAACTTTCCTTCTGACGATGCTGTCTGTGTTGAGCGCTCAGTGGATCTGCGCTCGACAGTGCAGCCTAGGC